ATAACTTTAGAACAGCGAAACTCCGTGTATTTACGAAGCAATAGTTAAAGATTCTGAGACAAAAATTAGTTATTATTGTAAAAAGATGAACCCGATTCTAAAATTTTATATATTAACCGGTCAGATTATTTTTGGACTTAAAGTTAGTGGAAAATAAAACAAATGGCAGGACCTTTAGTGCAAATCGAAACTTGGATATGTGTTCAACGGATCTGACACCTCAATCAGATCGAACCCTACAGAAGTTAAAATAATGGTGACTATTGTTCGAAACGAAAATACAGAAGAAACGGAGATTTAAAAGAAAAGTATTGAGAAAGTTTGAGAAACACACGCCATGCTACTTTAAAAGATGATGACGTTTTAAGAGTATTAGTTTTATAAATATCAATAAAAATTACATAAATTCTATAAAAATGGTTGATAATCGCAACGAAATCGATCTTCCGAGGAAAGAAAATACTGAATCTTTATCCGATAATTATGCCAATGTTGAGAGACTTTTCGAAGATTAGTTAAAAAATTTAAGAGAAATCCTTCCTTTCTTAATCAGTATAAAGAAATTATTTCGACACAACTTGAAGAAGGAATAGTCGAGAAAGTTGATTTCAGTATGTCTGAAAATGAAACTGAAGTGTATTATATGCCTCATGAAGTAGTATAATTCGTGAAGATAAATTAACTACGAAGATTTCAGTATGTCTGAAAATGAAACTGAAGTTTATTATATGCCTCATGAAGTAGTATAATTCGTGAAGATAAATTAACTACGAAAATGAGAATTGTTTTTGATGCACCTTCCAGTGCAATAAACTCTGTTTCCTTTTAAAGACTGCCTGAAACCTGGCTGAAACTTTACGTTAGATTCTATAGCTTTACTTCTGCAATTTTGATTGAACAGGGTCGTCTTGACAACTGATATTGAAAGTGCGTTTTTGCAGACAGCATTAGCACCGAAAGACAGAGCTGCTGACAGATTTCTTTGGATTAAGAATGACACGAAATACAGAACCAGAAGTAATACGAAAGACGCGGGTTAGTTTTGGATTAAGTCAATTCTTGCTAAATACAACACTGAAACGCTACGTAAACAAGCCCGAAAAGAATTACCTAGTCGCGTTCCAAATCCCAAGGAACAAATTACATACGTAGATAACCTTATCTAGAGTTTGCAAGACGAAGAATCTGCCTTTGATGTTCATCGGTAGACAAAGTTCGTTTTAGGAGAAGCCGGAGTCAACATGAAGAAATGACGAACAAATATAACAGCTACTTCAAGATCTACTCAATCAGAAAACGGTTCCTGATACTTCGCTCTTATAAGATACTTAGCTATTGCTGTAATTCTAAAACAGACGGTATACGCATAGACAACGAAAGACTGAGGAATACAACAAATGTATATGAATTCAAATCACCGAAGAGAGGTGTGATAAGACCTGTTGGAAAGCAGGGCTATTGAGTCGGTAGGGGAATATCACCGACTTCGACTCCTGGAATTTTAATCACTCCGACTCTCTCATTTATGTAAACATATACACATGGGTTATAGCTTATTTTTTTAATATAAAAGAACTAATAGATGCAACAGGGAAAAACTGATAGTATACCAATGATTTATATTAATTAGCATTTATTATGAAATGTAAAAACTGGCATTAGTTATTTCTAAGAAACGGTATAGCTTCGGCAAGATCTTTGTTGAAGGGCCATACATCTGATTTGATAAACTTAAACTTCAGAGCTGAGAAGATTCTTACCACACTAACTTGAGTAGGAGGAAGAGCTGTTACTGTTAAGGCCACTTTTTTAGCTTTTCAGGATAGATTTTTGTAAGTTCTAAAAGAGTGTTTTGCAAGCGCAATTATATTTCTCTATTTCTTCAAAGGCTGTGTAGAAATCTTTTTTGTATTTTATCATTTTTTATATCTAAAGGCTCTTGGTTCTTTATTTTCACTCGCTTTGCCTAAGCCTTTCTAATATTATCCAAAAATATTTCTCAAATTCTAATTCATCACTGGAAGAGGACGGTAGAGACTCAATTGCAATGTCTGCAGTTTGAATGTCCTGATTCGAATTCTCCAATTGTTCTGAGAATAATTTCATTCTTAATGAAAGTTCATAGATAGCTTTCTTTGCCTTTTTAATTTGTTCGTCATCCAAGAAAATTCGGTGTTTCGGAACTTGCATATATTGAACCCAGCAAGATCTCAATGTCTAGCAAACTAGTTTCTCTTTTAGGGTTATCTACATCTTCTAAAAAGTTCTTAATTCTAAAACCTCTTTATCATCAAATACGTACTTCCTTATCGTGTTGCTTGATCAATAATTGCTGCTTTTCCTGCTCGCTTCCTAACAATGACATCAATTTTGGGAGTTCTCGTTGCTTACCTAAATTTACCAGTGAGATTTGTAATTAAATGAATCAGTTTAATCACAAATGGCACATATCACATCCATCCTCCTCCCTTATATTTATTTATTAATATGTCAATAAAATAGAAGATAACTATTTATTAATATCCATAAGTAAAAATAGTAACTCAGCTTGTCATTAATTTTTTTCAATTCATTTAAATTTCATTTCAAATTCAAACTGTCCAACAAAAACTGGAGTCGGAGTAGACATGTTTTTAGCGACTCCAGCTCAGACTCCTTTTACCCCAAAATCTGCCCGACTCCAATTCCCACTCCATGAACTCTAAAGTCCTGTTGGAAAGCTGTTTGAACCCATTTCCGTTCACAGTTAGACCGAAAATGATACTTCAAGAAATCTGGAAAAAGAAGGTTGAACTGGGGATGAATGTTTACCACCGGATTTGGCAAAAGCATATTAAGTTTGATGAGAAGAACTGCACTATTTGAACAAAGTGACATGATCACAGCATTTATTTGAACTAAAGAAAAATGACAAATTAATGAATTGGCAACTTCACTGTTTTGTAGATGTAAGTAAAAAAAGACTACGGACCTTCAATTTATTAATCTTATAGAAATTTAGCTAGAAAATATAATTTAGTAGCCTCAAAATCGAGGGTTGAGCCGATGGGTGAAATAACGTTACTGTATTGGAACTACATTCGAAACAACTTGAAACTTCCGATTGATACTAAATTTATTTCTGATCCGATTTTATGACTATTCTTCACTGGATCAAAGGCAATTCTCGAAAAGTGAAACTGTTTGTTTAAATTGGTGGAATTGTTATTCCGGGGGAAATGAAAAAACACTCCGCGAATTCGCTTTTGGAACTGACTCTTGGATTTGACTACTTGGACATTTCTACAAGCTTTTCCAAAACTGTTGGAAAGGAGAGGCATTTGCAGCGTAATCTACAATGACAACGCAAGAGGACATTCCACAAGAAAAACCGAGAAACTAAATCTGCTGTGGAAAATAATAAAAGGGGGGGGCAAGTGCAAAATTTATTTTGGAAGTTATCGATCAAATGGAAATTTATCGGCGAAAGGGCCGCCTGGTGGTGTGGTTTTCGGGAATGTTTAGTAAGGTCGGTTAAAGTTTCGTTGAGCAAAATGTTAGGAAGAATATCATTTTCAATAAAACTCTCTTTCATTATTTTTAATTCAAGAACTGGAAGTTATATTGATAAAAACAGAGGCAACTTAAATCCAGGCTTCTCACTAATGTTTTCAGCAATCCGCTAACCACCTGGACATTTCTTGATCGGATGACGATTACTTCTTGATCGGATGACGATTACTATATTTACCTTAAGCAAGTAAAGGGGTTCCTTCCTTTGAATCCCACCTTTGAAAATGAGCAGATACAAAGTATAATTAGATTCTTAACAAATTTGGAAAAGACTGAAATCATTTTATATTCATATCTTAGGTCATCTTATCTATCACGACAAGTCAAGCGGCCTAGCAGAACTTTGAGAGAAACCTGTGGTTTTATAAGGGATGACAGAGCGCCTATTTTTAAGGTGAATAGACACTGTGATAGAACTCCATCCTAGACTGATGACCGTATCCATGCATGCACCGTGAGACTTTCGAAGGAACTCTTATTAGGAGACCTTGTGCAGTCCACTAAAACTCTCAAATCAACAGTTAATGAACTTTCCCGTCTCCTGGATTTTCGACCCCGGAGGTTGTTGCGAATTCTAGCCTAAAGATGGTGTTGATACGTTGTAACTGTTTTTAATTTTGGTTAATGTTTTAGCATATAGCTAAGATGTGTTGTGCATCGTCAAGAGTGTAAGGTTGTCCGTCATTAAAATATCTACAATTACTGTCTGAGAAGCTCATCAGATCAAGAACCAGTTACGAATTTTCTATTTCAGCTGCAATGATTGTCGATTGATCCTTTTGTTTTAGGCTGTTTCATGTATCAATTAGTAAGACAAAGCTATAGCAAATTGTTCCTTACAGTGCTTGCCATGCTGAGCAATGTCATTTGGACCATACTTTCACATACGACATCTGGCTAGCTAAGTAATTTACGTATGAAACGGTGATGCAATATATCAATTATTACGATTTTAATTATTTTTAAAATTATTATAAAAGTAATTTGTTAATACATAATAACAGAATTCTTTTTGAGTTCAAAAAAGACTTAAAGGAGATGAAATTCGTCACTTCAGACACGAGACAAAAATTTAATTGTAGAAAAATTGCGCTTGGAAGCATACGGTTAAAAAGCTGTAGCATGTAGCCTAAATCGATACAGTTCCGATTTCAGATATTCAATTACTGTAAAAGAATTATAAAACAGCATTATTAATGTCTCATTTACGTGAAAGAAAACATGTTGGAAATATTTGGCAACTAAACAACGAAAACCTATTTCACGACAAATGTCCTTCAAATGAGAAAATAGCTCAGCCTGGAAATAATGTCTTAACAAATTTTATAAAAAGGAAAATCTTTGACAACTCGCCATCTGCCAATGAAATATTAAAAAACAGCGATAACGTGAAAATAACACACACACACAAAAATAAATAAAGAAAGAAAGAAGTGTAAAATACAAACCGTCTCCTGCCGCAGGCTCCGTTTTTTCTTTTTTCTCTTTCAAAGATTTCCTCGTTAAATAACCACGGACACCCGCTTGAATTTTAACCACTGCTTCATTGACATTTGCAGCACCATCATCAACCACCTGCGTGAAATTGGATTCTTATTAATGAATAATAAAAAATAAGGTCATTCTAAAAGAATACTTAGCAATATCGATATGTATGCCAAGGTCGAGAAAAACCAAACTCTCTTTTATTATATGAGCTTGTCTAAGCTTCCTAAGCACACAAATAATGGTTAATTGCTCCTTTTCCATCTTTTATTCGCGAACATTATTTTGAACATTCATTAGCTAAAGGATTTCGTGGCACGCGATGCATCCATAAATCAAACTCGATTTTAAATATGTGGTTGCAGAATTTTCCGGTATTATTGATTATTATTCATATCTGGAAGTTATGTTCGGTATTTTCTGAAACGGATTCGAACTATGTATAAAGAAATCGATGCACCGCATTATGTATCCTAAGCATATTACAAAGAAAAGGGGGTTCATCAGCTGTTTGATGTTGCTTAAAGTTCGTCAAAGCCCAGCTTGTTCAAATTGTTACGTTTGTCTTCTAGAAACCGGCTGCATTACACCTAATAACTGGGTAAAAAATAAGATCAACTGAAATATCAGCAAATTAGTAAAATCAAAATAGTGCATTAAATTAAAAAATTCAACTACATTTCTGTAGTAATTTTTCAGAGAAATCTTTTTAATCCACTGCAACTAAAGGTACTAGGTGCTTTTCAGGTCATGGTTAACCAATTCCCGGTTTAAAAACGCCAGTATCGGTACACTTCACAAAATTCATTAAAAGGAACCAATCATATCTAACACTGGGAAAGTAAAGCACGGGAGTTTTAAAAATTTTCAGTCTGGTTATATAATACACAGAAGTACGTCGCTGAATTATAAACACGATTATTTCAAGACTATACAGATATTTATTTGAAATTAAATTTATAATTAACCTTACATGCAGAAAAATGATAATCTAAATATATACACATTCGGAAATCCCACGTCAATGCTAATAAATTTTGTTAGCTTAGCCTCGGGTTGCAGTTAAGATCTCCTAAGCCACATGAAATTTGAAGCCTACAGTTAGCTGCCTCTAATTTAAATAGTTCAACAGATAATTCACTTTGTTCAAACAAAACTTCTGGAACAGGCCTATCAAAAGGAGATCGATGAAAAGATGATTCAAGTTGTGATGATGTGAAAGAGAAACTTAGCTAGAATGCTTGCATGTGCATCTGTAGGAAGGATGTACTCCACGAGATCCAGAAAATGCTACTCTCCTTGCCAGAAAATATCAGACATAAAATTCCAATGGTCCGTGCCCACATTGGAGTACATGGCATGAAACACAGACAAAATTTCCAAGTTGGCTGCCATGGACGAATGTACACGGATACTGTACATGCCATGCAAAGTTGCACATGAAAGCGACCACTAGGAGCCTTTTAATGACAGTAGCAAAGTTCCTGGAACAAAAACGACAGCGTCAGGAGAGCATATAGTTAATTGCCTTCCCGAAATCAGAGATACTTAAGCAGCTGTACTTCTGGGCTAATACTATTCCTGACGAGACATGGTCCACACGAGTAACTTATTTCATACCGGCTTCCAGCGCAGTGCGTCGTATGTGGAGGGGTTGAAGATCTTCTCCACTACAATTCTGACTGCCCAGCAAAAAACAAGTGTTTATCACCTCCGCATTTCATTAGCTGAAAACCAATATATAGGGTGAATAACATTTGTTGCAACACATACGGGCTCAGACGTATCCAGAACTGCAATGAAACAGCTCTCGGAATTTCCAATCAACCAAATAACTAAACAGCACCCTGCTGCAGCAATCCAGAACCATCAACCCTGCTGCAGCAATCCAGAACCGTCAAAGTGATTGCACCAACCGCCACGTTGTTAAAGAAGAGAAAGAAAAGCCATGCATTTGAAAAATATACCACTGCATGTATTTTTAAGACAATGGTATATTGGTACATTAGAAATATTTTCAAATTATGCTCGAACTTGCATTTCGAGTGCAAATGTCAGTGCAAGAAAGTTTGTTCCGCAAAGCAGTCTTAAATTATTATGGCAACATGCCATCCAAAACGGCGTCAATTCAGGAAAACATTGTTGTTGTAAATTTAAAAATGTAAGAAGCACTTTCGGGAAAAACTATTTTTGAGCATGAAACGTCTGAATTTTTATCACTTATGTCTGACAAGGAAAATAAAAATACGCATTTTTTTCAATGAGTTTTAAATATTTACAAATAAAATAACGGTTTACATGAGCAGTTTCTCAGAAAAAAATATAATCAAGTGTATCTTTTCCCACCAGTTGAAGAATAAGAAATAATAGTATTACTGCATACCTTCCTCTTCAACCCCATTCTCTCTACGCAAGTTTTATCATGTGCAATAGAACTTTTTACTATTTTTCCTTCAATTCCGGAATTTTTACAAGCAGTATCTAAGAAGATATTGAATTTCAAAATTTTCATCGCCACAAACATCTCTCTAGCCGACTGCCGCCATGTTGCTGCTCCCAAAAACTAAGCTCACACCTGATTCGCCAGCTCGTGATCCCGACTAAAACTCAGCTCTCCCTCACCACTGCCACAGCCACTACATGGCGACACGTGCACGAACTCCTCGTCGACTTTTCTCTTTTAGCTGCTACCTGATGATTCTCTTATTTTTGGATCTACCTGAGGTTCCCTCAAAATCATGTCCTTCGAGAAATCTCTGATGTTACTGGGAAGTACTGCCTTTAAGCAGTAGAAACCCAGCAAACCACCTAAGTATCTTAGTATCTTAGAATTAATCTGTGCACTTAAACGACTATTAAAACTTAAGTCACCAAAACGAAAATGAGAACATAAATAAAATATTTTGGCCTACTTCCAACATAATGCAAATGGAAAATTTTTAAAATTTAATTATTCAATTAAGATCCTTTAAAGTGGATATTGATGTACTTTACAAGGCAAATCAATTCTTAAAGTAGAAAACATTTTTATTTACATTTAAGAAAAGAGATGTTTAAAAAAACAGCAAAGCAAATCCACAGCAAATTCAAAACAGACATCATGCTGTGAAAAAGTGCAAGAACTCTGCACTGAATAAAACATCATTTAAGTTTAAACAGTTCTAAAAACAAACAAACAACACATAGCAGTAGAAAATCAAAGCATGCAATATTATTAGAACTTATCAATTTCTGATAACTAAAGAAAAGATACGTAACACAGAAAATTACAGCAAGCGAAGTTCCGTCTTTCAAATAAGGTTATACAAGACAGAAAAACAGCAATATACTACAATATATTCAAATGGCCATGTAAGTAAATTAAGCGTTAACGTCTTTGAAAATTCTTAATAACATAATGGAATTGTCATACATGTCAACTCTTAATTATTTTGAGGAATTCCTATTACTTGATACATAATATTTACGATCAATGCTTAATTCAGAAACGGTTGCAATGTACTCTTTATAAACTTACAAATCAGGATAAAATACACCTGAGATATTTAGAATTAAAAAAAAAGCTATACCTATCATAAAAAATTCACATAAAGTTACAAATCACAATATTTATTATAGAATTACTACAGTCATAACATGAACTTCTTCCCTTCACTTTAAATTCCAAACGTTAAAATGAAGAAGTTTAATATATTCTTGAAAGATAATTAAAAATATACCGCAAGCCTTTAAAACTACAAATCCAAATAGGAGCGTTGGTATAATCCAAAATTTGCTGTGCATGGAAATGACAGAAATAAAAGCAGACATGTAAATGCGTAGACGTAATACAAGCAACTTACGCTAGTACATACACCTTGCAAATTGTTCTCGTGCACAAGGAATGTCTCGCTTAAGAACACAAACGAACCAGCAGTGTTAAGATTTTGCCGGGGGATGTAATGTAACATAAGAGAAGTGCATATTATTCTTCACAGAAGTTGGTATTCATACAGACCAGAACGAAACAAATATAGAATCGCTACATCATGAAGAGACCAAAAATACTTGCTTGTCACAGTACCGATCGAGAGCGCAGACATCTTGTGCGCACAGTTACCCCTTGATTGTACAGCCAAATCATAAGCGATTCTCAAGAATTTAGAATGTACTTGCTGCTCAACAATTAGTCTCTACACATACGGTTAGAGTTATCTACTGCGTGGGAAAATTTCTACAAAGTGCCCATTGCTTCAGATACATTGCACTGCACATTTGTGGCGTGTGGGGCTGCAGTCGAGCTTTGACTGTCACCGATAGAGTAAGGAATGAGCATGATATCATTGTTTAAGGGAATTTCTATCCTATCTGCAGCAACATGATGGTCGTCTCTGCACCAGCCTGTATCGAGGTAAGAAATTGAGTTAATCCAGCATTAATTATACGCATCGTCGCACCAGAGCAATTATATAACGATGTGACGGTGGATTCCGTATAGATTTGCGCTTACTGTGCATTCCCGGTATAATACTGAAATCTATCATTACATGTGTCAGGTACAAGGGTTTAATATTCGGTTGATCTTTACATTATGGTAACTTGGCGATTTTTTGGCGACCAACTCTCCTACAGCAACCCTCTATTTTTTTTCCCGCCGCCATTTTGTCTTCACGAAGTAAAGACATGTTTCTTTTCTTTTATCTACTGAACACTTCTTCCAACAATCTACTAGCCGAATTACACTTATGCTAGAAATTTTATCTAACAAAACTGCTTAATCATGACAAATATTCACTGCAAAATTGGGAAAAAGTGCACAATACCATACTCCTTACGCGTTTTTCAAAATAACACATACACATAAACCATGTACACGCCGACTTATTTTTACTTAAAAAAACATCCCAGAATTGCACAAAAATGGCATTGCGCACACTCTTCACTATATCCATGTACACTGCTTTTTTCTCATAAATTAGAAAAATTTCAAGAAAATACATGACAATTTTCTCAATCTTTAAACCCGGTAAAAAGAACATATATGAAATTACCTGATCGCGAAAAAGTATATACCCTTTCCAAATATGAACATTTCCACATATAAAATAAATAAAAATATCCAAAAACTTTTTACCTCTAAATCATCTATTATATTATAAACGTCACCAACGAATTCATACCGCAAGCATTACAAATACTTAGTGTCAAATATTTAAATTATTTCCATGCACGTTTACTTCAACTAAAACGTATACCAAATTCCTACAAACATAAAAATTCACAAAATAACTATCATTTAATTAAAATATAATTAAATTCAAAAACACTACTTAAAATATAAATAAGCACATACATTAAATTAATAAAAATTAGCTTACAATCCTAATTACTTTAAACTAAATCATTGCTAATAACAATTTTCCCAATAATACCAAATTACTTACTTCCATACTTCCACCTACATTTAGAACAATGCATAAAAATAATATCCTCAAATAATTAAAAATACTAACTTACCTAATCTTCTTGAGAATCTTGATTTGATTACGTGTCCGATAAACTTTTCTTATTTCTGTTTCAGGATCTTTAAAATCATACTTATAGTTCACAGCAAGGTACCAGGTAAAATAAATAACTTAATAAAACATCTTTACTTCTATCTCGCACAACCTTAAAGAAACCACTTTACTTCCCCTTTCAATCCCACTAAATACCCATTTCGAATTCACTTTAGTTAGGGCCATGGGATCCAAAAATTAAGGAACACTGTTTCACAGAATAAAGCCAAATACAAAATTTCCAGATTTTTTCCCGATTTCCCCCCTTTTCCGATTAAAGAACCGTAATTCGTCCATTAATATTACATGACATATCCCATGATCTCTCATTTCCCTCACACAAAATAATGCGTAATCGGAACTGAGTACTGCTCACATTATTACCAAAGTCCCAGGTAGTAACCTTTATCGCCTCCAAAATGTCGCCAAACTACCAGTTACCATATTCTAAAGATCAGTCTAATATTCCTTATTTTCAAGGCCTGCCAACAGCAATTACCAACAATTACACAGTCCGAGTACATGCAATATGAAGATCCAACAATATTCGAATGGACACCTAGTTACACCTCTTCTTCCACCCGTGGGCTATTAGTAGTTATCGAAAATAAAACTGTCGCCTAGTGAACATGTCTGCACAATAATCGCAAAATGACTGGCACTCACAAACCACCAATGGCTATAGTTCGTAAACTGTTACAACGTGTCGAAATTGCTTAGACTGAAATATTGTAAACATTCATCCAATGGTTCTCCCTCTCTCTACGCCAGGGCATATAGCAGCAATTGTAGTTACTGAAATAGGGTTTTTTTTTTTTTTTTTTTTTTTTTTTTTTAACGAGGCGTAACTTTTATTAATTTATTCTTTAAATTTTTTACATAATAAATATGGTCTTAATAGTTTTTGATAGTGTTGCATTTTTTAATGGCAATAATTTAACAACAACCAAATAGACATAAGTAGTCAGCAACATTAGAAAGTAATTTCATGAATAGGTTGTTAAATAACATCATATCTATCAAAGTACACGAACGAAAACTCTAAAGTTTCAGATACAGCAAGAATGTGTAAATGCCAAAAGATTATATCAAAATAATTATTAATAGTTTTCTCTTTAGAATATCAATTAATTAACATCAAAAAGAATTTAGTAATTCATACTCTTATATATGCATTAACACTCACCTGTAAAATTGATTCCTGAGCCTTTGATTGGATACCCTCCACAATGGACCCAGCAGAGTCTTTTCCTGTCTGAAGTACTGAAGTCTGTACTTGAGAAACAGCCTCTTTAGCAACAGTGGGAATTTGCTTTAGATCAGAGACAATATCTTGTGCTTTCGTCTTTACTTGCTCAATAGTATTCTGAGCTTGTTTTGGTACATCTTGCAAAGCTGAAAGAACTTCCTGAGACTTTTCTTGTACCCCAGTTAATACATTAGTCTGTGCACCACTTGCTAAGGCACCCAAGGCTAATTTAGGCATTACATTTTCGAAAGCTTCTGTGGACTTGACTTGCACTTCGTTTTCCTTTTCCTTAGCTGCATTCTGAACCTGAGAAAACACTTCGCTGGCATCGCTTTTTAATTTGTTTAGGCTTTCCTCGGCTTCTTGAGTTTTTGCTTGCAGCGTCAAATTTGCGCTAGTTATACAAGCTTCAGTCTTGCCTTTTACATCTTTGATTTTTGCCTCAGCTTCCTGAACACTGGATTTTAATTGAGATTCTGCCGAAGAAGCAAAGCCTACCGCTGCACTTTGAATACCTGAGATCTTATCTTCAGCTTTCATTTGCACTTGGAATGCAGCTTGTTCAGTTTTAGATTGCAATTCACGAGCTTTAGATTCAGCTTTCATTTGTAGCTGAATACTCGCAGTAGAAACGGCGCTTTCTGCTCTAGACTGGACATCTTGTGCTTTGCTCTCCAAATCGCGTGCTTTTGTTTGAAGCTGTGTAGTAACATTTGTAGCGCTCTTCTGAGCTTCAGATTGTACGTTCTTAATTGCCGACTCAGCTTCTTTTGCTTTCGTTTCAAGTTGACTTGTCACTTTAGACACATTTTCCTGTGCTTTTGCTTGGACGTTCTGAACTGCACTTTCAGCTTCACGAGCTTTGCTTTCCAACTGGGCTGTTGCGCTTGATACCGCTGCTTCAGCTTTGGATTGGGCGTTTTGAACTGCTGTCTCAGCTTTAGATTGTGCACTCTGAACTGCTGCTTCAGCTTCACGGGCTTTCTGATCAAGCTGGTTGGATACTTTCGATACAGTCTTTTCAGCTTTGGACTGAGCATTCTCAGCTTCTGATTGGACACGTGCGCTAATATCTGAAATACCTTGTTCAGCTTTTGATTTAAGATCTTCAGTAGCAGACTCGGCTTCATGAACTTTAGACTGAATTTGGGTGCGAGCTGATGCAACATTGTCCTCAGCTTTTTTTTGTATATCTTGTATTTTACTTTCAGCTTCTCGGGCTTTGGATTCTAATAAAGTACTAGTATCAGACACCACTTTCTGTGCTTGAGACTGCGCTTCTTTTGCTTTCGATTCGGCTTCCTGTACCTTGTTCTGTAATAGCGACTGCTCAGATGTTACAGACTTCTGAGCTTTTAACTGCGCTTCGCCCACTCCTGCTTTAATTTCATCTGCCTTGGATTGCAGCTCAGCGCTCGTTTTATTTGCTAAGTCTTGAGCTTTAGATCGTGCATCGTTCACTGCTTGTTCTGCTTTATTTTGAATTTCAGTGGCAGTATCTTTGGCAGCTTTCTCAGCATCTGACTTTGCTTTATGCAGTTCTGCATCAGCTTCTTGTACCTTTCCTTCTACCTCAGACTTCAAATTAGAAACATTTTTCTCAGCTTCTTTCTGAGCCTTTTCAATTTCTGAAGTAACACCCGATACAGTTTCATCGACTTTCGATTGCAAATCCTTCGAAGTTTTTGCGAATGACGAAGTGAAACTGGAGGTAAGTGAACTCTTCTTCTATGACAAAAAAAAAGTAAGCTATTTTTATTAATCATAAAAACATACATTCATTTACGAAATTAATAAAATCTTTGCAACAATTTAAGTAGCATTTTTTATAAATGAAGAATCTGATAAACGAGTATGATTCCTAAACAATATCTTAGTACAAATATCAAATTCAAGCATAATAAAAGCAGCTGAGTTTATTATAAACATAACACTTTCAGACAAATGCTAAAACCTAAATTCCGCTGAAATAATTTTAAAGGATATTTTTAAATGTGATAAACTATTTACTAAGTACTAAACATTCAACAGTGTAATAACGTAAAAAAACTGCGAGACCTTGTTAGTTGGAATCATTTAGATCTGAAATGAATATTTGGTTGGTTTGCTGTCGCACTTCTCACTCTTTCGTGTAAGTGTTAAGAAGATTTCAGAGGCATAGGCAGTCCACATAATTTCTTCATGGAAAACAAGATACGCAAATTATTCATTTCAAATACCAAGGGAAGATAAATGAAAAACAAAATTCTGGCGAAATTGACTAGAATACAGCCGCAGTCTGTTTGTAAAATGTTTAATTACTACACCAATTTCTGGTTGCACTGAAGAAGTATGTTACAATAATTACTAATCAGTGATCAGTGCCGGATTTGCGTATAAACTACAGCTTAGAGCCCGCACTTTTTTGGAGCCCCCTTCACAAATTGTACTATATCCCGTATTAAGGGAAAAAAAAAAAAAAAAAAAAAGAGAAGAGGGCCCCATATCTCAAATAGCTTAGAATCTCGTCAAATCTAAATCCGGTCCTGTCAGTGATACTTATAATATATAGAAACAATACTATGTAAAGCAATTACATGAATGCTATGCAACATTAAAGCTATACGATAATTTTCCAATCTAAATTAACAGGATGCACATGATAAAATGCCTACAACAGTTTTCGGCTGATCTTTGGAATATGGTAACTGGTAGTTTGGCGACATTTTGGAGGCGATAAAGGTTACTACCTAGGACTTTGGTTATAATGTGAGAAGCACTCAGTTCCGATTACGCATTATTTTGTGTGAGGGAAATGAGAGATCATGAGATATTGCATGTGACATTAATGGACGAATTACAGTTGTTTAATCGGAAAAGGGGGGAAATCTGGAAATTCCGTATTTAGCTATATTCTGTGTTGTGTGAAACGTGACATTAATGGACGAATTACAGTTCTTTAATCGGAAAAGGGGGTTAATTTGGAAAAGCTTCATTGTGTGTTGTGTGAAATAGTGTTGATTAATTTTCGGATTGCATGGCGCTATGTAAAGTGAATTGTAAATTTTTAATGTGTTTATCTAATAATAATAATAAGTTGAGATTGTGTGAAAGGAAGGATATTACAAGTTTAAATGGCGGTGCAAGAAATAGGGTGAAAATGGACATTTTGTGAAAAGGAGTGAAAGGAAGGGTACGTGGTTTGCTGAAAGTAGTTTGAGTATAGGTGAAATTTTATTAATTTCTTATTACTTGGTAAATAGACTTCCAGTTGACTACTGGATTTAGGACTTGGAAATTAGCAGTAGTACTGCAGCGACGTAATGAAGATTCTGAAGAAGATTAGGTAAGTTCGTATTTTTAATCATTTGAGGATATTATTTTTATGCATTGTTCTAAATGTAAGGAGTAAATAAATTAAAATGGTATTATTTGAAAATTGTTATTAGCAATGATTTAGTTTAAAGTAACTAGGATTGTAATCTAATTTTTATTAATTTAATGTATGTGCTTATTTATATTTGAAGTAGTGTTTTTTAATTTAATTATATTTTAATTTAATAATCGTGATTTTGTGAGTTATATGTTTGTAGTATTTTGGAATATGTTTGAGTAGTATACGTTGAGTATTTTCATGCATTTTCGTGAAATTTTTCTAATTTATGAGAAAAAAGCAATGTACATGGATATAGTGAAGAGTGTGCGCAATGCCATTTTTGTGCAATTCTGGGATGTTGTTTTAAGTAAAAATAATTCGACGTGTACATGGTTTAGTGATATTTTAATTAAATGATAGTTATTTTTGTGAATTTTATGTTTGTAGGAATTTTTGGTATACGTTTTAGTTGAAGTAAACGTGCATGGAAATAATTTAAATATTTGACACTAAGTATTTGTAATGTTTGCGGTAAGAATTCGTTGGTGACGTTTATAATATAATAGATAATTTAGAGGTAAACGTTTTTAGATATTTTATTTATTTTATACGTGGAAATGTTCATATTTGGAAAGGGTATATACTTTTTCGCGATAAGGTAATTTCATATATGTTCTTTATATCGGGTTTAAAGATTCAGAAAATTTTCATGCATTTTCGTGAAATTTTTCTAATTTGTGAGAAAAAAGCAGTGTACATGGATATAGTGAAGAGCGTGCGCAATGCCATTTTTGTGCAATTCTGGGATGTTTAAGTAAAAATAAGTCGACGTGTACATGGTTTATGTGTATGTGTTATTGTGAAAAACGCGCAAGGAGTTTGCGATTGTGCACTTTTTCCCAATTTTGCAGTTAATATTTGTCATGATTAAGCAGTTTTGTTAGATAAACTTTCTAGTATAAGTGTAATTTGGCTAGTAGATTGTTGGAAAAAGTGTTCAGTAAATAAAAAGAAAAGAAACATGTCTTTACTTCGTGAAGACAAAATGGCGGCGGAAAAAAAAATAGAGGGTTGCTGTAGCAGAGTTGGTCGCCAAATGTTCGCCAAGAGATCGCCAAGTTACCATAATCCAAAGATCAACCCAGTTTTCAAACTATGCACATTAAATAAAAGTGCATTATTTATACTGATCAATATTGATCTGTCTTATACTTTTTTATACGTATTGCTTTGTTGGCACTTTTAAGGATTGACAAACTTAAGTTTCGATTATAAAACTTATGAAATTCATACAGTCGCTCAAACAATTGAGGATACACCTTACTTTTACGTGATAAATCCAACTTTCAATCGAAATAACACATTAACTAGAAGTGCAAACGTACTTTTATTCTCAGACATAACAAAAGGTTTAATTAACAGTAAAAATAAAAGAAAAATCAACGACAAAATTCTAAAATAAAAATTCTCAGAGGCATTTCAAATAAACATAAGCAGATTTTTACCTAAAAAAAATTGAGGATACACCAATGAAATTTTTGTTTAACTACCACTAGATTTTTTTTCTGCTTGCTACTATCATAATCTAAGTTTGGGCAATTTTATCTTAATCTTTTTCGACTGTTATTTTTGTCTTTTGAAGTTGGTTATGTGAATTTAAAGTCGCAAGTTTAAATTGAAAATGGCTCCTCGGAGAGAGACCAGTATTGATGTAAGAAAATTTATTAAGGTTATTTAAGAAAGGAAAATCTTATCGTGAAATAGCTGAAATTGTCGGTAGAAGCCACTCGCGTGTACAGAAAATCATTGGAAGATTTAAAACCGATGGATTAATTGAAAATAAAAGTGGAAGAGGAAGGAAAAGTATTCTGAGTTATGTAGCCAAAAGGAAAATTTTGAAAGATATCAAGATTGAGTGCAGTCAAACTAGCTGCAGAAACTTCTCGAATAATGTGCAAAAGTGTAAGTGCTGAAACTGTGAGAAATGTGATTAGACATGCTGGATACAGCAGTCGAGTAGCTAGAAAGAAACCATTTATAAGCTTACAAAATCAGAAAAAGCGTTTGGAGTTTGTAAAAACTCATCAATTGAAGACAGATAACTTTTTGGAAGAAAGTTATATTTAGTGATGAAAGTAAATTCAACATTTTTTGATGGTGATGGTCGTCGCACCGTTTGGAGAAAGCAGAACACCGGTTTGGATCCAAAAAATTTACGTCCTACAGTTAAACATGGTGCTGGCTCCGTCATGGTTTGGGGTTGTATGGCTTCAAATGGGGTAGGAAATTTAGTTTTTATAGATGGAATAATGGATCATAAGCTTTATATAGATATACTCCAACACAATATTAAAGAAAGCTAAAAAAAATTGGGTTTAGATGGAAATTTTATATTCCAGCACGACAACGACCCCAAACACACGGCACATAATGTCAAAATGTGGTGTCTTTTTCATTGTAAACAGCAATTGAAAACACCACCACAGTCCCCTGACATCAATGTCATAGAAAATTTGTGAACCACACTAGAAACAGCGGTCCCAAAACACCAAATTAGGAACAAAGCCTATTTAAAGCAAGTTTAAGAAGAATGGGATAAATTAGGAACAAAGCCTAAGAAGAATGGGATAAATTATCTCCAGATACCACCAAAAAATTGGTCGAATCAGTACCAAGACGTTTGGAGGACATTATAAAAGCCAAAGGACATGCAACCAAATATTGACACTGTCTTTATATGTAATACATCACAAAAATTTCATTGGTGTATCCTTAATATTTTAGGTAAAGATCTGCCTATGTTTATATGTTTATTTCAAATACTAGTGAAATTTTTAATTTTAGATATTTTTTGTTGATTTTCGCTATTTTTACTGTAAATTAACCCTTTTGTTTACGTGTGAAAATAAAAACACGTTTTCTCTTCTAGCTAATGTGTTATTTCTATTGAAAGTTGAATTTATCAAGTGAAAGTAAGGTGTATCCTCAATTGTTTGAGCGACTGTAAGTGAAAATTTTGGGACTGCAAAGTGAGGTACTAAAAGTACTTGTATTTTCTATAATATTTGTTTTAACAGGAAAACTTGGAAAATGCTTTTTAATATATGTTTATTTTATACAATACATGTCTGAATACATGTATTTTATTTTATACAATAACTGTTTGAATACATGTGTTTTGAATGCATGTTTTATAAACTAAAAGTACTTGTATTTTCTATAATATTTGTTTTAACAGGAAACCTTTTGAAAATGCTTTTGAATACATGTTTATTACTAAAACACTGAAAGCTTAACTAAAATATACAAATTAATACACATCAATTTATTAATAGTAGCCTGAGGAGACTAGTCAGCTTTACGATTCTCGCGG